TTCGATAGGATTGATTTAATGTATTCGGTTTATATATACATATATACATATATATATATATATATAAAGGATATTAGTATTTAAATGGAATGAAGTAACCAAATGGTCAACAAAAAATAAGATACTAAAATCCAGTTTGCGTGTGCCTGGTGTTAGATAAATGAAGGCTTGTTAACTTACCTAGACTATATTACTTAATGTACGATGTTAATCATTGATCACCATTAAAACTAGTCAAAATGTTTCTTGTATTTCTATAACCGTAGAAAACCGTAAGAAAAATACCTAAAAATAGGAGAGCAATATCCAACAGATTTATTATTAAATACTAGGTATCAATACAAACCGGTTTTACTATCAACTGAATTTGAAGCCAATAAAAACCCGTTGACGTGGACTTCGCGGGAGTGAATATCACACACGTCACACGTATCTCCTTATTGGTAATGAAAAAACAAAATTGTTGTTACCACATCTTCCTATTATATACCTTCATCCGTTTTCCAAGCTATCTTTTTACTAATACGGGCTATACTAACACGGTGCATATGATTAATTTTTGACTACTCCAAATTTCTCCAGCCCACTTTTACTTCTAATTGTAGGCAGTATATATTTTGGTTTCCGGAAGAGTGTCTCTATCTCGTTATTTCTCCTTATCTCCACTCACCGCTTATCTCTTTCACAGGTCCAAAAAAAGTTCTTAACGATAAAAATGTAACTATACCATGGTTGACTGTTGCGTTTAAGCTTATACGTTGTATTTTTAAAAGAAACAATCTAGTAATTCCGTTCCACGAGAGCGTAATACAAATATTATAATATACACAATTTTATAAACTTATACCTTTACCCGCACTCTTGAAACAAACCGCCTCGAATTGATGATACTTAGACCGTCAATTTTTACTTTGACAAAGGTACGAGCGTTAGGTTGTATGTGAGGTTAGGTGATGTAATTGTAACGCGCTTGTTGTCAAAGCGTAGTCGGTAGTCATGTACATAAGTATACTCGTATAGCGGCCGAAGCGAAGGCGATTAAGACGAGTATGTGAGGGGGTGGAGGAAGTTCGCCAAAGCGTGTCCTCTGCTAAGCACCACCTAAAATACCTGACTCTCTGCTTGCCTGGTACAAGACGTTCGCCAATATATATCTATCTATTCGTTGCCCTGCCCACTGTTCTCGGATCCCGAGAGCTGCGCAACCACCACCGCTTTTGTCTTAGGCGCATGCGGCCATCAATATACCAATACAGTCACGTCGGCCGTTCCGTAAATAATTATATATATATATATATATATATATATCTTAAAGCTCTCCTTAACCACGCACCGAGTGAGACGTCGCAAAGAAGTATAAAGACGTTAAGGAGAACCACACGAATAACACGGCAAGGAAGGGGTGGTGTAAGGCGCCGCATGGACGTTTCGCTAATAAATCGTTTGTGTGTGTGTGTATAAATATATTGGTACACACATATGTAGGTAATTCGAAAGAGAATAAACCGTGTTTTGCCGTATGTACGCACTTAAACATGTACAGCATCGATCGCATATGATATCTACTCAATTCGACGGCGGTCGCTTTTGTGTGCAGCGTGCCGACGGTGCGCAGAAAATAGCTGTGTAGTCGAGTCATTTTGAATTACACGATTCTGGAAGGCGTGTAATATATTATATGAACCGTATGCCGTCCGTTTGAAAATAATTGACATAGGTACGCCAACGATTCGGAATCGATAAAACTATAATAATATAGTGAAAGCGAATCCGCTGCAGTAATTATTGTCTCGGCGTCTTTTTAAGCTATCCGAATATTTGATGTGATTATTTAGCGATGGCCATTCTGGAAGTAAATCAATTTGTTCGTCTTACTTGATCTACGTGTATAATATTATAAACATATAACACATCAGGGTTGGTCCTAACCATAAAATATTATCCACAAAAGTGTTTAATAGAAATTATAACTGTATGTATTTTCAAATTTAATACATAACTAATAAGTAATGTGGATAACTTGATTCAAATCTTTATCATAATTTAACACATATTTTGTTTAGTAATTTCTCAAGCTATAGTTATAAGTTATTAAACGTTTAAACAAGAAAATATATAATATGTAGGTAACAATATTCTGTATTTTCGCAAACTTCTCTATGTACTTATATTGCCATTTCCCTAACTTATACATGATAACATAATCCCTTTCTTGTTACGTATAATTTTTCAAAATTCATTCCTACAATTACTCAAAATAATGTAATGAATGATGGCTCATTTGACAAGAACTTAAGATTAATACTTGATTATATAAAGTATACAATATACCTATATCCCTATTCAAATAAGAAATCCCTAAAATTCCAGAACCCTAGTTAAACTCTTAAGTACTTCGTCGATAATGATCATTTTTTTCGCATTTGATCAACATAGGAAATAATGATTTATACCTTTTTCACTAAAAATTTGAGAATCTTCTTTTCTGTCTAATTGTATAATATATTTTGTGTGGTTTTTAAATTATGCGAAATTTATTATTTTTATTTTTACATACATATTTAAATAGAATATTACCTCATAAAATACACATCAAATCGAATTATATAATTTCAGCTGTTCTCAATTTCTGAAAACCACATAAATGTTTAGCCTGACTTATTGGTATGGTGGTACCTAGTCACGACTAACTAAAATAAATGTATACCCATTACCCTGGTATTATCCTGTCAATATTTTACACGTATGACGTTTTTAATCCAAACATTTAGTATATCCAACTACACAGTACGTAATAATTATCTTCTTTTTTTTTTTTTTAATAAATAATTATTTTTAACCCGATTGTTTAACCCTATACATATATATATATATATATTGGTAAATGTTTATTTGAGATTTTACTATGGATTTATTATCTCTGGAACACACATAGCGTGATATGCCAAAATTAATCGAACACAATATCTTTGATACCCTGGAGGGTTTTTATAGGATAAAAAGAATACATCTGTCAATAGCAGCTTCTCGCTTATGTGCGTTTAACGAATAGTGGTGGCATTATAATAACTGACGGTATTATCCGTGTTGATCCCTGGGTATACGTTATGGGAACTGGCATTGGATTTCTATAACCGGCAATTACCACAAGACCCAAAAAGATGTTTATGGGAAGACTGTGCTACAAAAACAATTGTGGTTTTATTATTTTTCGTTTGCAAGGAATACAAATTCTTGGTTAAGTGTTCTGTGTTTTTTAATAATTTTATATTAATTTTAAATCGTTTTTCAGTAGAAACAAAAAAAATATTTAACTGTATTAACTGATAATAACTGATATTAACAGATAATAGTAAAAATACACATATATATTTTATACAAATATTTCAATATATCATCCACGTAGTAAATATCAATAAAACGAAATCGTGGTTATGGGTCTGAAACCAAATATTATATACTCTGTCCCACGAGAGAACAGGCTTGGGCAGAAACCATAATGCATAATTCAGGTATGCGTCTGCGCAGACAAAACTAAATAGATATAACGCGTTTTAGTTTCTGCGCATAGCCCCTGTCTAGTAAAAAAAATATATAAAATATAAATACAAACGTTGTTAATCATAAATATAGATCAATTGAATAAGTTTAATTTGATATAACGCGTATTTGCAAAGTGAAAAATGTTATATGTCTATCTGAGTTTTATTATTAAGAAAAAGATATTCTTAATGGTGAAGTGGGCAGGGTAATCTTAGGGCACTTTTTAGTTACACCTGTTTTAAATAACTAAATAAGTATTATGTCCGGAGAGTGAAATATGATTTCGGCAAATCTTAATTAAAAAAGTATTAACCTAGGCAAAGCAGATAAATCAACCCCTTCCTCCATTTCAGAATTACAATAAGTAGAAGTTGTAAAATTATCTGTAAGATTAATTATTATCATCATTCCTTAATATACATAGTATGTAAATTTGAATTACTCAAAGTAACGAGGTATAAGCCCCTAAATTTGAGTAGGAAAAATTTTAAGTAAATACATTTTTTTGCAAGATTTGAAATAGGATGTCAGAACAATAGAAAAATACAATTTAATTTAAAGCCTGTTAAAGCGACTAATAAAATGTCTTATTATTCTAACTATAATCACGAGTAATTTAAAGTAGTCAATACTAATTATTGTGTATGTAAATTTATTATGAGTCTAGTTATAACCGCTTGCAAAGATTGGAGGAAGAATTCAATATTGATGTTGCAATTTAAGTTTTTATAAATAAATACTAGTTCTCAGAATAAACAATAAATGAAATACGACGCCAGACGGTAATGCGGTAGGTACTTGGTAATTCTTTTGGTGTGGAATTTCGTTAAGAACAATTTTAAATATTTTTTCGTGGCGTTGAAGGTTTTTTCGCGCGGTGTAAACCCGTTGCTTCAACGTTCGCATAATATGGTTATAATTATTCGCGATAAAATCGACAGCACCGCATCGTACCGTACCTACCACGGTCGAGGTGTGTATTGGTTAGTCGTGAGAAAACTTCTCTGCCGAACCATCACCCCGAGGTGCTTCTGCCGAAGAGAGATCGTATATAGTTAAGTACGGGATCGTTCGCACGGTTTTATGGGTCACCTCGGCCGATGAAGTCGCCGGCCTGAGTGACGCTGAATAGGTACGAGTCTCTCTCACGGGAGTGGAATGGGCGAAGAAGAAAAAGAAAAAATGATATCGCCGACAATTGGATTTATGTCCATCCGGGGCCCGTGCCTCTGACTCCGTCTCGGATCGTGCGCCGATTTTATGAGCGTCCACCGCTTTATCCATATACACATATACCAGCAACGTGCGCTATAATATCGCCAGAACGGTAATTTAATATGTGCTGGAGCGCACTGGCGGCGGCCGCTCGGCACCGACACACGACGATGTCCGTTTTTTCTTATGCATCAGCTATCTGTCTCTTTCTCTGAGCGCGTATTGCCGGTTGTACCTGAATATACCACCACGCGTGCGGTAGTAGGCGGTCGTGTTCGGGCAGGCCAGGTAGTGGACGGCGAGGAGAGGAGTACAAAAAAACGAAAAATACACACAACAAGAAACCGAGGTGCGCCAAACGTTATAGTGGGGAAAGGAGTATAGTAGTAGTAGTAGTAGTCGTCCGCAGTCACCGACGACCACGGCCGGCTGTAACACGACGGCCGTAGACGGTTTTCGAAACCAAAGGAGAAGACAGTATCGGTCCGCCCGGCAGCTAGTCGCCACCAGCGCACGCATAGCCCGGAAAACACACCGCTTCCCGCCGAAAAACAGGGACGTCGCCGAGGTAAGAGACATTTTCATCAGTTCTTTTCGTCGCTGACGCGCGCGTCCCGGAAAATCGGTTTTCGCCTATAACCGGCTGCACCCCCCCCCTCCTGTGTAATCGGGGCCTCCCCCACCACCCCACCCCGTCGAGCATTCAACCCCCTCCCACCATCCCTACCTTGGTGCGGCGCTATCGCATAGCCGCCCTCGACCATGAACTCGCCGGTCGCGCATCACCGCAACCTCCAGCAGCAACAGCAGCAACAACAACAGCACAATGACCACCCCAAAGACGACACCGTGGGACAGCTGTTGCAGAGATCCCTGCAAAACGTCGCCCTGTCACTGCAGACCACTTTCGTATCGTCCCTGCAGCAGGCCGCGCTTTTGCCGCCCGACTCGCCGGTGGCCGCCGCGCTCAACCTGCAAGCCCTCGAGTCCTACATCACCCTCCAACGACTGACGGCCGTACCCCGTCATCCGTCGGTGGACGATCGGAACGCGGAGGATGCCGGCGTAGTGGTCGTTCAGGAGGTGGACGACGACGAAGACTACGTGGACGAAATCGAAGACGTCGACGAAGACCCGGCGGACGTTAAATGTGGCCGTCTGCCGGCGTTCGCCAAAGAGTTGTCCGGCCTGTCGCCCCGAGCGAACAGGCTGTCCGCGTCGCTGAAAAGCGTCACTTCCTCCGCTGCCGTGGCGTCCCTGGCGACGGCCGACGACGAACCCGTCGACGAACCGGCCGTCCAGCTGGTGTCGCCGGAAAACGGACACCCAACGTCACGGCCGAAGAAACAGTTCATCTGCCGTTTCTGCAACCGACATTTTACCAAATCGTACAACCTGTTGATACACGAACGCACCCATACGGACGAGAGACCGTACTCGTGTGATATATGCAAAAAAGCTTTCAGGCGCCAGGACCACCTCAGAGACCACAGGTAATATTAGTAGTTCTTACTGTAAAATATTTCTTAAGCATAATATATTTGTAATAATATAGTTATATTATAACATTAAAATACTTTGCTGGCCTAATGGCTTGGATGTTATGCTCACGTAGCATTAGGGGTGTTGATGATAAATGATAATGATAACAAACAAAATACTTACTACTAGTTAAATACACCTATAATTTAGTGATGTTAGCTAACGCACAGTGTGGTATAGCAATTATCATCTATACCTGTCATCGTTGCTCGACAGTGATGTTAAAATATATTATTTATAAACAACCAAAACTTAAACATCCTAGTTAAATTATAATAATGTAGCTTTATAGTAGCTTTGCGATTGATGATTATATTGATGATTGATATTTAAAAAACACTGACAATGTATATAACTCGGTAAAAAGAGTTTCGTCTATCGTTCAAGCTGGCAAGAAACGGCTAGGTTTTTTGAGATAAGGAATATCAAATAATTGGATTTGTATTCAGAAAACATATGATCGCTTTAAATTGTACTATATTTTTGATTTATACATAGTATCGTTTCGCAATGTAATTATTTGGGTAATTATCAACATTATTAGGTACCATCGTTGTTACAGTACACAGGGACAAGAACAACGACCGGTAATACACCGAAGTGTGTTATGAGTTCGGTCTCGGCGGTGGTCATCTTCGGGTTGTATACTGTAATGTCTATTGTACACAATCATAAATTACCGGGGTACACTAAAGTGGTTTGAATTTGTGTGAGCGCCTAAGTATATACACAAAAAACGACACACACGACGACGACCCGGTACCTACATGAGGTATAAACGTGTATCTACGTATCGGGTTACTCTTATCTTTTACTGTGATTCTCCACGACACTTGGGAGTTTTGGCTTACACGTTGATCGTTTGCGCGATATTATGGATGCGCTTTAATCGCTTTACATGTGTACACATTTATACTTCTCCCCAATAATTTACCGGTCACGTTCGACAATATTATGTTACGATTATGAGTTTGTCGACAAAAAAAAAACTGGGAAAAAATGTCATGTCATCATAAATATGGGACAAATATCTGTTAAACTATAACGATGGAGAGAGGGTTTGAAGAGAAATCAAAGTTAAACAATTTTACTATTAATTAGTATCACGGAACTATGCAAGAGAATGGACAAATGAAAAATGTTAGAAGTAGAGAATTTATAGAATAGTATAGAAGTGTAGAATTTATAAAAATGAGATCCATACGGTCTAGAGGACGTGTGCTAAAGTTGCTAGCATTCCCTTTAAAACCACCCCAATATCCGCGACAAGTAAAGGGCTTTAAATAGGTTTTGCCAGAAGACGTATTTTATAAGAAAGGGGGTAGTAGGCGTGACTACCCTCTGGATATTATTTTGATCGTAGTACGATATATTATAGCTAGGAACAACTATGGTACGTACATTTTGTAAACCATTCCGCTCATCTTTTTGTAAGGTCCCTTGGGCTGGTAACGAAATACCTGGGGCCGAGTGCTGTGTGACACAAAGGTGCCATTTAGTGTCAGTGCATGTTGAAAGAGAATTTCACTAGGCGACATGGTATAAAAAACTGGTGCTCTGCTCCCCCCCCCCTCTATACAAGAATGATAAGAACCTTATCTCCCCCGTGTTAATTTTTATCAGTGTCCGAAACCTGGTAATACCCACGAATAAATGATAACTTTTACAATTCCCCCCCCCCCGAGTCATAAAAATATAAAGATAAAAAGAAACTAAAAATAACAAAAAGGTACAGTAATTTAAGAATTATTATATTTTTACGTAATATTGTTCATAAAAATGTATGTTTATTTTTTATAAATAAAAGTTTACACTTTATATTGATTTAATAATCAAATACATTTTCAAAGGTACAACCAAATCTAAAATTTTAAAAAATGTGCATGATAAAATTAATAAAAAGGAATACATTTTGTGTACGGTATATTGTATCAAAGAGCAAAGCCTTCCATTATTCGGTCTCACTTATAAATAGCTTCGGTCCTTTTTTATATATTTCGTTGGTAACAAAAATTTAGCATATCCGCCGCTAGTGAAAACCAATCGTAACAACATCGCCGTTAGTGTGTGCAAGCAAGGCCGGATTTTTTTGTTTTCACAGTAATACTACAATTTACATGCCCGTTCAATTAAAGTCAATATCAAGTGGCATTTCAAAAGTCTGATAAAAATCATAACAAAATTCAATTATTATTATTGTTAAGTCCTGGGGCCTCAACAACCTTAAATCCGATCGACCCATTAAGTGGGTGATGGCTATAATGATTTAAAAAAGTAAATATAGTAGTAAAGAAAGACAAGAAGAACGTATAGGTAGATAAACATGGGAAGAATTTAATGGAGACATGAATGTGTATGTAAGAAGACAGAGTAATACAGACAGACTATAAAGTATCATGAAAACAGAAAAGTACTAAAGGACTTAAACCGTCGCGTGGCAAACGGCGAAGATGTCGATTATTATTGCGCCATACATGATTGTTATTGCGTTTTTATTTGTTTCATCTCTCAAGTCGTAAACGGACTATATGGAATATATATTTTATTATTGTTCACCTAAACCAAGTACACAATATAAATATGTCAGTCAACACGAATCGGTTGCAATTGAGAGCTATTTATTTTAATTTTGTATAAGTTTAAAGACATACGAATGCACCACAAACGGAACCCGAAACGACCGCCTAACATCAATGTGTTAAGATAGATCTCATTTAATTTTAAACCGTATAGCGCAGTCTTATTGGTGGTAATCTTTAATATTATATTAATGTGATATTGTCTATTGAATATTTATTAGCACAAGCATTGCGAATTTGTTGTTACAATAACGAACAACTTTTACAACTCAAATTATTGTTGTTGTTATTTACTTATTTCCCGTGGCAGAACGAAACTGTTGAATTATTTATGCAAATGGCATTTACGTTAAAAAAACGATTTACATTTTCTAGTTATGGCATGGGCTGAACCTGAACTGACAACTAACTAACTTACTAAATTATAGGTATACCTATATAGGTAACTATATTAAATAGAATATTAATATAATATAGTTCAGCGATGACCTATGCCGTCGCATCTTTCCCGCAAGTCGGTGCGTCGCGTCGTTAAGTTTACGTTTTTATTATAGACAATAGTAACAATATTATATTATTATTATTATTACTACTTTTTTTTTTTTTCACTTAAGCGAACGAAACGACGGCGCAATAAAACGTGTATTATAATAACCTTTAACAAACGCAAAAAAAAAAAAATGTATAAAAATATTTAGTACCCGATAATAAAAAATGATCAAAATGTAAACGTATCGTATTCGCGCTATAATAACAACAAAATTATTATTATTATTGTAAAATTATTCCGACGATAAAAATACGTCGGCGGAAGATACCGTTCGGGTTGACGTGTCCCCGTCGGTACTCGGTTAAGTATATTATAATACCTACTGCTAGAGGATATTGTCTGTGTCTGTAAAGGATTTACTCGGCAAACGCCAGTCAGTGGTGGTCATCAAACCGGCTTGTCAGTCGTGTTTACGATCTCCGTGAACACTCAGATTTTATATGCGCCGGAAAGGAAAGAAAATATAAATACATACCGAGTGTGTGTGTGTGTATTATAATCGTGTGCGAGTGTTAATATATATATATTTTTTTTTTACTTCTTTCATTGCTAAAACTGCATTTGGAAGTCTGCCACGAGTACGCGCAATATATATAGAAAAAAAACTCCATTAAAAACACCCCGGCCGATTTATCTATTGAATGTAATACGGACTCGGCATAGAACACGTTACACGTCTAGCATAGGACATACCTAATATCTATAATAATTTCATTTAATCGACCTTTCAATAGAGACCGTAGTGTACGGCGTGCAAGTCCTACGCGGTGGAATCGACCACTGTTTTGACAACCCGGCAACTGTTATTCGATATTCCTTAACTTTTTTTAAAAAAAATATTATTACAATCCTAATATAGTTTTGTTATTTGTAATCCATCCATTTATTACATTAGGTCTTCGTGGGAATGGAAAAAGGTCAATCACGCGTATGCGCTCCATAATAGAAGAGGAGGGTTTTTTGATATTATTGTTATGCCACCATCGCACCCGGCCTTTTTAATAGCTAAGTTATTTATATAATGTATATTCTAAAAGTAACGGAGAGAGCATTAAAAACGGTCAGGTGCACACAATGGCAGTATAGTGTGCACGCGGTATTACCGGCAAATTGTCATAGTTTAAACCGACATAAATCGATTCAAATTTGATTACGGAATCCAAAATTAAAAGGCCAAATGTGGGTCGGCGGTCGTATTAGTATATACTGTTTAAAGTTATCTTTGAATTATTATAATTAATTATCTCCGAGACTGCCTGGTTCGTTCAAAATTCACGGTTAGTCAAAATAAGCTTTTTAAACGGGGGAGTACAATCTAGTCCATATACACGCACACTAAACATAAATTAAAAAGTGTATTTTACACATTATTACACAGAAAAAAATTATAGTTGTTACTATAATTATTAAGGTCAATATAGGAAGACAATAAATTAATAGTTCGACTAAATAGGCAGATTAATTAAACGTTTGGTACATTATTCGTAAATCAATCTTCCCTGACCTAACCTAACCTAGTCACGCCGCAAAGCTCAACATGCTTTTGATAAAAATGTGCCCAATCCAGTAAGGAGTTGTATCGTCAACGTAAAGAAGCGTATTAAGTAATTTTTGCGTATAACTTATCAAATAAGAGCCAAGTGTCAACGGTTATTGATCATAATTAAATTTGGTTATCGGTTTAAACTCTGATAAAGTCAGTTGTTCATTATTTATAATTATGTGCATAATAGGTACCTATTGTATATATTATCCCGGTTAGGTCCTGCGACGGATCAAATCAATCAGGTGTGTGTACTGTGTAGACATTCCGTACGCGTACCGATTTCTAACGCACGCCCGTTTTATTATATTATTATTATTATTATTATTATTATTATTATTATTATTATACCGACCATTTACCTCACAATATTTATTGCTCTTGTAATGTACCACGACGACGTGTAGGTGTCCATAGAGTCGTTAAAAGACGCTGCGTTCGAGATTATTGCATGTAGCACTATTTTGTATCCTACATAATAATATACTACAATAATACTCTGTTATTATTATTACTGTAAGTGGATTCGGTCGTGGCGAACACTCGTTAAACTTTAAACAGCCGAACGACAAAAATCGGGTAATAATCAATACTGTACACGGCGAGACAGTCGAATCTTTTAAGTCTGTAAAGAGTCGTCACTAATTAAAAAAAAACTCATACAATTGCAATTACAAATTATTAGGTACTATAAAAAAAAACTAGGTCGTTAGTTGAATTTTTATGGCTGTGACTGGCAGTTAAACCGTTTGTCGATTTGCGGCATTACGAGGGAAAAAAATTGATGTGCATATTGTTTTCTGAAAAGGTGTTGGAGAAACAGAGTTGTGTTTTAAATAAATTATGAGTACGTTTTACAAGAAGCGCGCGACGGGATTTTTCAAACAAGACTAGTTTATTATACAAAATAGAACCGGTTCAGTTCACTTTTTTTCCATTAAGTGTCAACCAAAAAGTTTCAACAATGCGATATTACACAACTATTTATAAAAATTATTATCGCCCGGTTGCATGCCTCTTGGTACCGCGTGTTGAACGTTATTTTGAGTTGTCGTGTACTTAGGCAGGACGTTGAGAAACGGGAATTTGAGATCGTTAGCACGGTGGAATGATCCCATTTGCCGGTAGGGCAGATTAATTAAACGGGCGAGAATACGATTAACATCACCGTTGCATGCATTGACCATAAAACGGTTATTAAAATATAAATTATATTATTAAATAATAACGTCCAAAATGTAATTCACGCAATGGTTTATTCGGTTTTCCGAATATTCCAGTTGTAAGTCATTCGAAAACCAATTTTACCCCTGTCGGTAACAATTAGCTAATCCGAACTGAGAATTTGTTTTTTTTTTCGAAATTTATCCAATCAAGTTCACGCCGAGCGATTGGTTAACGACTATATGAATATACGACGTGTTAGATGGATATATTATTATTATAGTAAAATAAAAAGTAGTTTAACTCGTTTGATTGCTTAAATAACAAAAAAAAAACAGTCCGGGATGTATCGAAACGGTCGTAAGGAAACGGGAGGCGTGCACGGTGCATTTATATAGTGGTTGTCGTAATGTGCGCGAACCTGTGAAATTAACCAGAGATGTATGGTAAAAAAATGAACAGCTTTTTATGAAACGCTCACCGGCAACGAAGGAACGGATTGTTTGCGAAAATATTCTATACAGCTGGGTATACAATACTGTAGTATACATGTACAGTCGAGACAAATAATATGTTTCCGATTGCGATCTTTGATTGCCTTGGTGTCTGTAGATACCGGTAATAATAATTCACACTAACACAACAAACACAATACATCGGATACCGCACCTATTTCCACCTTTAAAAACTCATACGACCGCCGATCAGTCGCAGTGTACATTATAGGAAAAAACTAATTACCACCCGACGTTGGTAGGTTTTTTTTCTTCAAACCTTACACTTGATTGTATAAACCAGACAACAAAAAATGCATACCTTATTTCGATAAAATGTGTCATCCTTTACGCGCTTTAACCACTGCATATGTAACATTCATTATTTTTATAAATAATAATAATATAATCCCATTTAGAGACCTAAAGTATTATCTGCAGTCCTAGATTTGACTGATACGAGATACAACTATAAAAGTAAATAGCACATTATGCGCGTTTTGTGTTAAAAAAACGTTCTTAACACGGCAATACACGAAATGTTGGTTTTTAGGATAATCGTTTGATATTACTTATAGTATTAATGTTTAGCACTAGACTTGCTGTTTTCTAATCGCGGTCAATGTTTTTTGTTTTGCTCCAGGTACATCCATTCTAAGGAGAAGCCGTTCAAGTGTCTAGAGTGCGGCAAGGGATTCTGTCAGTCACGCACGTTGGCCGTCCACAAGATCCTGCACTTGGAGGAATCGCCGCACAAGTGCCCCGTGTGCAGCCGCAGCTTCAACCAGAGATCTAACCTGAAGACCCACTTGCTCACGCACACCGACATCAAACCCTACAACTGTCCGATATGCAGCAAAGTGTTCCGCCGCAACTGCGACCTCCGACGCCACAGCCTAACGCACAACCTGTCGGCGGCGTCCTCACTGCTCAACGAACAGCCCGGTGTAGCCACAATAAAGATCACCGCTGCGGATAGCGACAACACACTGCTGTCATCCGCACCACACAATACCGTCACCATAGCGTGAATCGTTAACTACCCAAACGGAAAGTTTACTATTTTATGATCGTCAAAGCATAAATGCAACATGCAACAGTAGTTGATTGAGTGTAAAAAATAAATTACATTGTATCATATAATACTTAACAATCCAAAATGTTGTTTTCTATTGAATTTATTTATATTGTTTATTGTATTGTTGGACGTTTTCGCGATTAAATGTGTACTTTTATTTATCGCACTAATTTGTGTAATTATAATTATCATTACTATTATGAATTATTATCTTAATATAAACATTTTTTCTGCCGTTCTATATATTTTAGGTTTAAATCATTTCGAAAATTGTATTCGTTATAAAAGAAAACAATTCCTATAATACTAATTGATAAGTTGTGTACAAATAAAGTTCTCATAAATTAACCTTTACCTATCTATCTGTTATAATTTTAAACGTCAAATCCTTGGTCTAATGATCTTTATGATTATTAAAAATGATTACAGTAGACAATATTATATGGTGGAAAACACTGATTATTGAATTTTTCAGAGACCGCATTTGGAAACAAACCAATAAAAAACCTATTGTTTAAATTGTGGAACAAGGAAACTGACAACAAAGACTATATTTTAATATAATATTGAAATAAGTAATTCTATTTGAAAAGACAGCTTTCTACTTTGGTCATAGTATTACAGTCTCTGGTTTGGTTTAAACCTATCAGAAAACTAATTTAAACATCAATTATTATTTGTGTTATTAACATTTTATTTACTGACATTGAAAACTAATGTAATAATTAGTTTTAATGCTTTAGAGCAATCGTTTAAATATAATCAAGGAGTTTCTGGGATATTATTAACACAGAAACAAAGTTATTAGTATTCATGCTTTTTCTTTTGTGGATTAATATGTGATTTATACAAGCATATTATTATTTTGCTATACCAGAATTATAATTCTGGTACAGCAAAATAATAATATTAATGATTCGGATTCTGGTACAGCAAAATAATACCTAGCTCACTATTCGTTTGTTAGTTGTTACTATAATTAAATACAATTATTGAACTAACAATGACAAACAGCTGTATGAGGTTAGATGAAACTGTCAATATGTTAAGGTTAGGTACATGTTTTTTCTATCAATGTTAACTTGGCCCTTGACTCTTAAGAGTGTTGACTTTACACACAATCAGTCGACTAACATTATTTGTTTTAGTTAATTATAATAATAAGTACAATATAGCCTTTTTAAGATCAGATAAAATTTCTGAAAAAAATAACAAAATTTTAAGTTTTAAATTAAACACGCTATCTTTAAAAATTCACAAAATATTTTTTTAAAAAAATGTTGGATTATTCTTTGGGAATACTTCTATTAGGTAATAATTAAATATTATGCAAATTATTTTAATCTTTATTTTTTTCAAAGTTAACTTGTCAACAAACAATCAATCCTGACAATTGACACCTAAAGTTTTGAATAAAAATCAATAATTAAATTGTACTAAGTAAATCATAACTAAAAATGTGTTGTGTTTTGTTGACTCGTTTGGGGTTTTGTTTACTATCTGTTATCCGCCTGAAACAAATAAAAATGTATGTTTGGTTTTCATTTACAAAAAATAATTAAGGCGCAACGTTACGTTATAGAAATAAATAATATGCAGTGTTCTGTTCTAATATAGAAAAAGCAAAACAAAATTTTGTAGTAAAGTAACGAAATAATCGGTATCAAAACTTTCCTTTAGACGTGACGTTCCTTTTTCCGTCACGTTTTTAGTGACATGGTAAGTGGCACAGTGCTGACTTCATTATGAAGGAATTATGTTATGAAAATAAAGTTAAGAGTGCCCACACTTCATGCAGTTACATCAAGTTGCAAGATATATAAGGATATATAAGGCTATAAGAATATAATGATATATATGTGAGGATAGTCAAATTAATTTGTTAGGTAGGCACTTACTAACTGGCCAACCACGGAAATAGATTTATGAGAAATGTTAAATATTAATAAATGTTGCCAGTAAATCGATTAAGGCCAGATATTATAAAACTACTAAAAACGTTTGGCCAGAACATATAATTAAGACTATACTATCATTATATATCGCAACGAGCATATAAATTGGAAATAATCATATAACTATCAGGACATATCCATGTATTGATGTATCTGCATGAAGTGTGAAAACTCTTAACTAATTTTTTTGTAACTAATTTGTAATACTTCAGAAAACCACACGTACAACGTTTTACAAGCTTTGCCTAGCGCTATTTTATTTGTTGTGACTAATGTGTTACTTTTTCTATTTAATTTTTAACACTCTTAAACTTGTTTCCGTTTTTAACTAGTTGGCTAAAGAATTAATTAATAATTATAAATAAACCCTAACCACAATAAAAATATACTTATGAGCGCATTGGCTAAAGAAATCAATTATTTACCATGGCTGTTAGCTTTAGTCTTTAGGTATACCATATACATCATACATGTAATAAATTTCGCAAAAAACCTATACCAAGCTTTAAAAGTGTTTGTATATTTAAAAGAGAAAATATCCTGTTTTGGAGGGAGAATGTTCACTAGAGAAAAAATCCTTATTACAGTTATTTTTATCTTGAAGTGTATAAAAAAACTATGAATTATTAAAAAATGTTGTTATTTATTAAAATATAATATCCATTATAACTTATGTCGTCACATACGCATACTTTTGATAGGACTGCCATCATTAAATGCATTATTCTAAATAAATTATAATAATAATAGAATAGTATATTATTAAATATTATATAATATTAATATTTATTAATTACTAATTAGGATAAATACAATATTGTATACTAAATAAAACACAGCTGGCTGCCTTTGTACAAATTTTCATTGTATGACTTATGATACGTATAATAGTTAATACATTATATAATATAGTCATTTCAAATGTATGCCGAGTGCCGACCAATATGAACATACGATTCAATATGCACGTTTACACTTGGTTATGAGGTAAAAAAAAAACAATATTTTGTTAAGATCGAAAAAAGTATAAAAATTTAAATAACAAAATAAATGTGTGTCAGAATAATATTGTAAATTCTTCAAGGCAATTAAATTATACTACATTGAAAGCATATCGGTGATAAGGGCAATTGGCTTGAGGGTAATGCGTTTTGTGCATGAATAATTTATTTTTGGGTTATTTCGAAACGGTTCACGGTTGATAAATAAGAAGGTACCTAGGCTATCGTATAATAAGACGTGTTTATACAAAATATATAATCAGCCACAAGATGAAAATTAACATTATATAGAAATAAAACTAAAATATAAATGATTTGTGTATATTAATATAATAGAATCAGAATGGTTAATAACTAATAAGCAAATTTACAATAAAGGTCTAAACTGTTTGTATTTTATGTTATCCATAACACTTAAAAACTTTTAACTTTTAATCAAGAAATTATAGCTGTTATAATTTATAACGCGATGACTATTCAACATTTTTTTATCAAAATTGATCAACAATCTCACATTTCACAAGTCACAGCATATTTAATAAACCATACAACATTTATTACTTTTATGGCCGCTGAATTATTTAATCATAAAGAAACAGATACCTATAGTAAATCGTTGTTCGTTAATAATTTGTTCCGAGTAATAAAATATAATATTATGATGTTAAATGGGTTGTGACTGTATAAACTATAAAATTAGTAATTGTCCACTTCTCATTGTGCTATTATGGCGGTGGTGATACGGTTTTGTAAACGTACACATAACGAAAGCATCTGCACAGGCAGCATTGTCGTTTGTCTGATATTGGCATAACGCATTATGGTTGCACGATAAAGGTATTCAAAAGGGGAGGCGCACGTGGTAAATGCGCACAATTATGCAGAAAAATGTTCCGTCGCTTCGTGTGAGGTATCTCTTGGTGTATTTTTCGCAACACACCTTCCATTTTTTTTTCTGCGTACGTGATACAAACGCCATTATCGTGTTGACACAGGGATGATTTGGATGTCGAAGAAAATCCCACCGGCCGAGACGTCCCCCGAACAAATATTTACACGAGAGTCCCCCGGGAACTTGTTCGCCGGATTTCTTTTGCTCTTTTTAGTTATTTGTTTTTTTTTCTCTCCATTTAACTTACACAGTGGTTGTTTTTGGCGCATGTAACCGACAACGGCGGCGGCAAGAGGAGGCTGTATGTGTGTGTGTGCGTGTGTAGTAGATATAGGTACTTATGTAGGGTACTATGAATGGATTTGTCAACCGTAAACCGCAGGAGGTACCGTGTAATTTGTCTTGTATACACCGGTGGTCATTATAGTACGCCGGGCGATATTATTATTATTATTATATTGTACGCATTATATTATATATAGTGGCGACGACTATGATAGTGACAAAACGGGAAACCCACACTCTATACACCATCACGTCTGTGTGTGTTGCAGCGTTTTCGAGGCGACAATGCTGAATGCAACACAACAGACGATGCACAATCGGCAAGTGTGTCCGCCTAGGATAATACATATTGTTATAATGGGTCGGCGGCGGGCGTTGACGATGATAATATAATAATATATCCGAGGAGTCCTTTAAAACCGTGGCTTTTCAAAAACGCGTTAATCATACGGGAGAGCGCCGATTTTTGAAAGGACGTGTCAAGACGAACGTCTCAGCTACACTCGAATTCATATTATTTATAATATCATGAACAGGCCAGGCCGGTCCGGGTGAATATAACAAACCCCACGGCACAAAGGCTGCGTTATTACACACATATTATCATTGTTAGGTCGTTATACTTTTTTTTAGGATTATTATTTTACCGATCGTATTTGTATTTTTTTGCAATCTAAGTTCCAACGGATCTAATTATGTACATTTAACGTGTTCCAACAACGTTACATTGCCAGTATATAACTATAATAATTCGTGCTACACTAGTGTTTAACATGACGTACAAAATAAATAGCAATGCGCCTTATACACCCATCTACTAGCGATGGAAATCATTCAAATATTGAAATAAATTGAATCCGATGTTTTAAAATTATACTATTAATTTTAACAGTAGGTAATAAGTATTCAGTTATTCCAATTTAATTACAATCCTTCTATCTACCATTAATCTTACTTTGTAGATACATTTTTAAACGAGGACAAATTTGTTGTAAATGTATTTATTTTTCATCCGTGTCCATTCAAACCATCATTGCTTTATTTTAAATCACAATAGATATTTTTAATAAACGCAATATTGTACACTAGATATTCTCACTAAAAAAATGTAAGTGTTTGTCGGTCATAAAAGG